TTTAAAATAACACAAAACAGCGTAAAAAGACCTGCACACAAGACCTCGGTTTTTTTGTTTGTTTTTTTTGTTGTTGTTTTGATAGCTGCTGATTAAACTGAAAGTTACAACATTGACATGATTATATGAGTAGTTTTTACCGGGAAATAGATCAGAAGCGCCATGAAAATGGTCAGATCCGCCAGATCCACCTCTCTGGCTGCAATGTGTGCTCCCGACACAGGGGGAACAGATTTTCGCACAAGACCAGCTTTAAATGCATAAACTATAAACTTATCTTTTAGGAATAAAATACATTTGCCCTGGTAAAGCATGGCGGGCTGCTTGAAACCCTTGGTGGGCAGGGTTAACCCTGCATCCACTTATTACAACTGGTTTATTAAACATTCTGACCAATTAAATCTACGAACAGTAAAACTGCATATCAAATCCTGTACGTTTTACCTGTCATTGAATGAATTGGGATCTATACACATAGTTTCAAACAAAGTGTTTCAGCACACTTCATGAGCCATTTTTTAATTTCTCCTATTCAAGTTTTTATTGCGATAGACTTCATACCTCATCTGTGGAGGAGGTTTAATGGCACCCTCAAACAGCCAGATCCCAAATACAGCAAACACGTAGTACACCACCTGCATGATGACAAGTTCCAGTTCAGGTCAGTTTACAGGAATATCATTTTAACTTATGGATGAACTAAAAAGAAACATGCAGCTTCTCATATAGAACAACCCTCTATGAAGCTCGGGTGGATGAATGAAGGCTGCTCACCACTAGGATCCCAGCAAATGCTCGGAGGTTTTTCACCAGATCCAGCAGAGTGCTAGCAACCAGAGCCATGAGCTGCAGATCAACAGGAAAAGATGTGAAGATGAATTTGGGGCTTACACGTTGTATATGAGTGCTAATATGGCTTTTATGACATCCCATTACTTCTGTGTTTTCACACACACACGCACATACACATATATGCACCTACGCAGAGACAAGAGTTAGCCTGAATTAGCACGTCCAACTTAATTGGATGTGCTAGGTAGACAATACTACCTTTGTAGTTTGCAAAAATATTGAATTTTCTCCTAAGGGCCTGATTTCCAAAAGATTTGTGCAAACTTGATAGAGCGCATAAACCTGATCTACAAACAACATGCAAACAGCATCACATTAGCAAAATGAGGAGAATAGCTGGTGTCTGCAGGTGTTTGAGTGTCTGCATAAACGCAGACACTCAAAATGTATTGCACCTGCTATTCTCATAAACTTATGAATATGCAAAGCATACACTGATAATCAGGGCGAGCAGATGGACTGGCACGCTAAGCTGTCTGGGGTCACTATTGTGAGATGGAAGCATAGATATAATGATGGAAAACATTGCTTTTGAAATATTTGAAACACTTAAAGAATATAAAATATAAATAATAAAATACAGATTAAAAATATCCTACAGCAATATCAGTTTTAAGCTGCTGGGTTGAAAAATAATTCCAGCATAATGTTATGTTTTGATGCTCTGCCGGAGTGTATCTATAAAGCCCAGAAAAGTTGATGTAGATTATATTTTTATGCTGCTTGTTCCACAAATTGTGTGGGCAAAAGACGTCGGGGTGGGGCAGCTTAGTGCAGCCAGACTGCTGGCAATATTTAAAATGAAAATCACTACGACTAAACTTCAATATGTAGTTTATGCTTGTCAAAACACTCAATGTAGATCAGGTCCTTTACCGTTCAGCCAGCCAGTAAGTACCTTGATATCTGGGATGATGCGCAGGAACCGGAAGACAATCAGCATGTTAACCAGGCGAACCATCTCCCACAAAGACATCACACCATGAGATGAAGGCTCCCTTCAAGTCACATATAAAAACATAATGACACTCCAAAGGAAATGTGGAATAGATGTCAACATTTCATATAAATTACACAGATGGTTGAAATTTCTACTAATTAATAAAAGTAAGTCTGCATTTTATCTCAGTGCTTCCAGGTCATTTAGAATACCTGATGTACAGATATAGACAGAAAGGTCTTAGAACAGTCACACAGGCATACTGAATTACAAATCACCATTCGTTGGGCAGCTTTGAGTAATTCTAAAAAATGTTGAAACACACACATGCACGCACACACACACACACACACACACACAGAGAGATTTTATCCCAACCTACTGGGTTGCCAACCTACTGGGAATAAGGGAGCCTGTAGGTGATGAATATAGCAATCTGTAGGATCTGGAAGGGATAATCCAAACATGAAGTCAGTGAAAAATTTTAAAGTAAGAAACCTACAACAAGAATAAAATGTAATATGTAAATTATTTTTCAGAAACAATGCTAACTTTCAGACAAGTCATAATTTGGTAACACTTTATTTGAAGGGGGGTGAATAAGACTGTCATGACACTTTCATAAACATGACATAACACCTGTCATGAACATGAATAAGCCTTCATGAATATTTATGACTGTTGTCATAAAGCGTCATTCGGTAAATTGACACTTTTAATACAAAGTTGACATATTCAAAATGTCTTTGTTATGACAACTTGACATTAACCAAGAAATCATTACTGATATAAATTTGTTATAAAAGTATTAATGATTGCACTTTAAAAATCAGGTATCTTTATTAAAGGTAAAGTTTAAACAGTAATGATTTATTGGTTAATGTCAAGTTGTCATAACAAAGACATTTTGAATAATGAATAATGTTAATGTCAATAGTCTTTGTATTAAAAGTGTCATAATTTACCGAATGACGCTTTATGACAACAGTCATAAATATTCATTAAGGCTTATTCATGTTCATGACAGGTGTTATGTCATGTTTATGACAGTGTCATGACAGTCTTATTCACCCCCCTTCAAATAAAGTGTTACCCATAATTTATTCGTTTTTACTGTCCTGTCAGCAGAAATCCTCTCATGGCCTCTGAGTTTGCTGATTGGTTTGATCTGAATGACATCATTCACAGGTTCTGAAGTTTTACTCAAAAACATGTTTGCAACCCAAACTTACATATATGCTGCCATATTCTATGTAAGGGTTTAATCTAAAAGATAACAGTCAGATTTCCACAGAAACTTAATGGGAGTATTTTTGTACCCAAAGCCTTCTCTAACCTCATTGCTCCCCAGCTGGGCATTGCACTGTTACCCATTACAAGAGGTTAACAGAGGCATAAAATAGAATAGGAGTCAATTAGAAATGGGTTTAGAGTTTTCACCAGTAACAGAACGGTGAGGAAGCCATCAAAAATGTTGCTCCTGTAGGACAGGTATCCCCTCCATCCAAAGGCAAATATCTTCACGGTCATTTCAGAAAGGTAGAAGAGGATGAAGCAGAGGTTGATAACCTGGCAGTGAGTTAAGAGAATGGTCAGTCAGTGGCAATTATTGTTTTCCACCACCTAAAAATTTTAAGGAGAATACAAGTTTAAAAATGCAGTCCATTCATATCTCAAGGAACATCAGCACTGGACTGAGTTGTGGCAGGAACAAAACACTGGAGTGACTGGATGTTTAGTTCTTCAGGGTATAAGGACACCTTTTTACATATATGTTCTTTATTTTATTTTTGTTGATGCAAATGGCAGAATATCTGAACAGGTTGTATTTTTGGGTGAATTATCATTGTTTATTATTTTCCAAACATTGACATGCCTTGACTAATCATTAAAACTGACATTACAGTAGGGGTGTCAAACTCCAGTCCTCAAAGGCCACTATCCTGCAGTGTTTAGATGTGCCACAGGTACAAAACACTGCAATGAAATGGCTTAATTACCTCGTTCTTGTGAGGAGGCCTGCTAATGACCTAATAATTCTATTCAGGTGTGGTGTAGCAGAGGCACATCTAAAAATTGTAGGGCAGTGGCCCTCCAGGACTTGAGTTTGACACCTGTGCATTAAAGGGATCAAAATGTGTTAGACACGATTGTAGACAAACATGACGATCTTTGAAATACCATTGATTTGCATTTCCTGCAACCATGCCAGTCATCCCTAATTCCTTCCAATGTCCCTTTCATTCATTATCTTAAATCCCTGACTTCCTTTGTTCCAGGGTACTGTTGTTGCGGCATGGTACCCTGTTTTATGGTAAATTTTAAGAAAACATTCATCCTGTGACAAAGGCATTGTTAAATGTCTTCACCTCTAAGATGTAGTTGTCTCTCTCTTCAGTTGACTTTTCAGAGTTTAGAACCAGGATAGTCTGAAACACAAAATGTTGCATCACTGATTTACCTGCTGTGGTATTGTATGTGCTAATATGTGCAAAGAGTGCAGCACTTACACATATGCATAAGACATTGGCCAGTGCCACCAGGTTTCCTAGGACAGTGAGGTAGTAGTGACTGAAGACCACCTGAAGTTTTTGCAACGTTGCAGATGTATACTGCGGTAAAGGAGGATGCTGCAGCAAAAACGTGCAAAATCCAAACAATCATCTTAACAAATCGTTGTTGGACAACTGTTTAGAATGAGTCTGTAGTTCTAGATCTACCTCCTTGATACAATCTTTATCCAGTTCATCAAATATTTTCCTGAACTGCTGTCGATCCATGTAGCCCTGTTCTGCAAACTGCTGCGATGCCTGGCGTGTTGGATGTGCAGATGAGAACATTAAGAAATTCAACAGAAAAGACAGAGGACTTCATGAAGCAACATTCTCACCAACATTCTCTAGCATAATCAGGTCAACATGAGGTTTCTTATGAGATCAGAAACAAGGAAGAACATACTAGGCTTAAAGCTTTCCTTTTTGATAAAACTTATAGTTATACTGACATAGATTATCAGGAGCTATTTCTGTAGTTATGCTGCTGGAGGACAAACTGACCACTTTTTCTCACTTTCTTCTTCTTCAAATCCCCAATTAACATTATTTGTTATTTAAATTTTTTTTCCCTCAGTTATTTTTCTACACCTGGTCTGGTATTCCGCTTGGTTGTAAATTCTTCCTGGAGGAGGTCGTCGGCTGGCATAATGCTGCCATCAATGAATTGTTCTCCCTCTCTTATTATTTTAGATGTTTCATGAACATCTAAAATAATACATCAGTGCATCTGTTTCTTTGTTGTGTGTATGCTCTGTCTTCTCAAAACCTGAATTGGTCATGGCAGATGGCTGCTTGTACTGAACGAGGCTCTGTTGCTGGCAGTATGGGAGAGTTTTCAGTGCACGTGTGTGTGTATAAAGATGAACAGACATAAGTTGGCTCTGACCACTGTGATGGCTGATTTGTAGAAGCGCTTCATGTTGACTCTGGACATCACCTGAAGCACAGCATCGACTCTCACAAGTTCTCTGAGAGACAAAGAAACATGAAGGGATGTTGGTGAGCAAAATCTGCTGACCAAAGCCTTGGCCCCATGAGAAGAAGTCCCGTTTTTGAATTACTGGTTAGGTGTGACTTGAGTTTAGTAAGGGTTAGATCTTAGAAATCAATGAAAAATGAATGTAAGTCAATTCAAAGTCCTTGTAAAGATAGAAAGACATATTATGTGTGTGTCTTACTGTGCTTCTGTTTGTGAATTGTGACAGCTAAGGACATGGAACGCAGCTCGGATCCCCAGCCGTCTCCTAATGATGGATGTCTGGACTGACATCTGGACAAAAACATAAACAGTCAGCCGGCATGTTGAGTTTGCAGTGCTAATGATAAGTGGGTAGAGTAGCTCATCTCAGACCTGTTTATGCTAAACTAAACACTAGAACCCGTTCCCCCACTCATAGGTGGAAGGAGGCTACCCTCTCATTCACCAGGGTGAATTCCAACGTACAGGCACCAAGATGAGGGGCAACAAGTATGCCTACTCCTGTCCAGCACCTCTCACCAGGGGCAACTCCAGAGTGGAAGAGTGTCTCAAAGAGACTGGTTCTAGAACCAGAGCCTCGCGTTGAGGTGAGACCGACTATTTCTAGCCCGAACCTCTCTACCTCACACACTAGCACAGGCTCCTTCCCAAACAGTGAGGTGACATTCCATGTCAGCTTCTGTAGCCGAAAATCAGATCGCCAAGATCCCCACCCTCAGCTGCCACCCATCCCACACTGCACCTCACCCCTTTGGCCCTCCCACAGGTGGTGAGCTCATGGGAAAGGGGATCCACGTCTCCTCCTTGGGCTGTGCTCGACTGGACTCCATGAGTTAAAGCCCACCCACCAGGCGCTATCCAGTATGGCCCACCTCCAGGCCTGGCTCCAAAGCTTTTATGTTTTCTTCATCTATACTGAACGAAGTAACATCCATTATAACATTATGTTTACGTGGAAGTTTTTCTATCATTTCTCTCATCTCTTGTTCCTTTCCAATAGATGACAGGACTGACTGACCAGACAGTTTATCATGATGTCCAGTTGGTTTATTGTGGTATTTTTAATAACAGGTTGTGTATTTTCTACTATTTCATGATCCAACCTATTCTGTGCTGTTTTCCACTGTCAGACATATTTCACTTTGTTTGGGAGGTGGATTTTAATTCTTTTAGAATGTGTGACACAGCCTTCAATCAAACATGATGTAGAGTAACTCCTTAATACTTACAACACTTAGTTTTCCTGTTGCAACACATCATACATGCACTGACATACCTTCAGTCCCCTATGGGAACAGTACCACTATTTATGTAGTAAAAAGCTCATCTAAGAGCCAAAGGTAGGACAGGCGGAGCAAACCCATTTAAGAGGGAAGTCTCTGTGGTTGTGATTTTCTAAAGCCATGTGACCCACCCATCCTGGTGTTCTTCATTCATGGGCATCAACACGTCTCAGCATAGAAATCAATGGCGTGATGCTAGGTGTAAACATTCCAGTATGACGTCTGCTGGCTCTGAAAGCACAACTACTGATTCACAGATACACCAAGGCAGTCTCACCAGTAAATATCCCCTGAACTGGTTATAGATGATGGCAGTCAGCAAGTTCATCAGACAGTATGTTCCTGTAGGAAGCAAAACGGATTCCTTCTGAAACTCAGCACTACGGGACAGTCATAATGTTCAGAAATCACTATTACTTGTAGCTGGTTGGTTGTTCATAGTGCTTACCAATGATACTGAAGATGATAAAGAAAATGGCGTAGCATCTGTTGAGGGAATAGGCAGGGATCATGACTGTAACAGAGAACATGATTGGTCCGTGTGAAAGCAGTTAGAGCTACAAGACGTGATTGGATGTGATTTCACTATACCATCAGGATTGTTAGCTGTGGTGAGCAGCACCAGCAGAGAGGTCAGGGAGGTGGTCAGGTTCTTGAAATGTAACTCCCACTCACCATTCTTCTTTTGATCCTGGAGCACAGTAACACAGATAGAATAGCTGCACTGTTTCATCCACTGGTTGTTATGATTAAGATAAAACAGTTGAGCTTTTTGAGAAGCTTTTAAACCAAGTAAGGTTCAACTGAACTGAAGAAAACTTTTATTTCTCAACTACCTAAAGTATAATTGACATTCAGTGTTTTGTCCATACAAGGTTGATCACTATTAGACCATTCTGATTATGTCTTAATACTTCAGGTTAAAGTACAAAGCAATTTTGATGAGTGTGGGCTGTATTTTCACTCTGTGACATGTCCAATCAGAGTACTCCTGGCAACTACTACAGTCACTTAGATAAATAACAACCAATTACAACCAGCAAATCAAAATACTGCACCAAGCTGCAGACATCATTAAACAAAATGTTCGGATTTAGGAAAATTTAGGCTGAATATTTATTACGACTTAACAGAAATGCAAAATAATTATGTTACTTATTTTAATTTTATTTTATTGTGTTTACCTTTTTAAGACTATAGCTGGTGTTTAAGTATTGTCAGTAATGTCATAACACATAATTACACACAAACAGGTGTGACCACAAAGACATGAACTTACTGCATTTTTAGCAAACAGCAGCATGCCAACCATAGTGAAGAGGCAGAGATGCAGAGCAAGCAGCAGGATCACACTGCAAAACAGCAACAGTTCCAGGTTTAACAGAAGGGTTGCAGGATTCAGTGCTAATCCTCTGACTTTTCACCAACAGAAACAATGCAACAACATGGCTCCAACAACACTGCATGAGACAAGACTACTGAGACCAGACTCCATTTGAACTTGACCTGTAACTCCTGCTAGATGCTGTACATACATCCAGTAATCCTGAGTGTGTGCTTGTACATACTGAGAACTGAAAAATGTTTTTAGCCAACAATTTGGATAATGAGGACATTTTCCTGATCCTTACTGTTTTCAACTGTACTAAGCTCAACTAGTTAGGCTTAGAAGTATGGTTTGAATTAATGTTTTAGTTAAGGTTAGGGTTAGTAAAATACTGGTAATATTTAGGAATAGGGTAAGTGATAGGGTTATTAAAATGAAACTCAATATAAAGTCAGATCAGTAGACCATTGAAAAAACAGCTGTCTGCTGTCTTTTTCAAACATCGATCATTGAACGTGAAGTAAAATCTGGCAGCCGACCAGACTTTACTTTTACACCAGTAATACACCAGTAATAGTGACAGCAAAATCTAGTTAAGGTAGGAATATAGTTGACACACTGAACTTTGTCCCCACCCCAGCTCATTAATCTTTAGTGCTGACGAGGCGTCACTTCTCACTCAAAATGTATTTTTGGAAGGTGTTCTTGCAGAGCAGGTTCATCTGTATTGGTATTTATATGATCCTTTCATGAGGGCTGTCTTTTTGGAGAATACTAAACCAACGTACACGTCAAGTATAAAAGCCTTACTGTTGCTTAACTCATTCAAAACGGACCTCTAAAAGCATGATAGGTGCATGCCTCCTCTACACATTGTTCAATTGATCAACTATAAACCTAGATTTAAGTCCAAGTTAGTTGCGTTTATAGAGGTTTACGTTGATCGCAGAGAGACTAATCTGAGCACAAAGAATGATGTGTAGTGTGTGCATTTATCTCTCAAATGTTCACTCAATCCATGTTCTGGCTTTGTTTCTGCACTTCCTTTGTTGTCTCACAGTGTGGAAATTCCATTGTAACAGGCAATCAAAACATGTGGAGTCACACAGATTAATATATGTGTAAAAACAGAATTAAAAATAACATAGTGTAGGGCAGATGGAACTTTCGAGCTATTGCTAGGCTTAAAATGTATTGGTGACCTTTACTCATTCAATTCTGTTATATTTTTGTGATTGTTAAATTACAGACCAAGTTCAAGCTCGATAAAAAGCATTATTTTAAATTTCTTCAACTAAGAAACTTTGTTAAAGCAAATTGCAGTAATCTTAACAAGCCTCCCATTACATTGCTTGAAAAATTAATGATTAGGAATAAGTCAAGAAAAGGCATTATTTCAGACTTTTGTAATGTACTCTAATACAAGAGAAAATTCAAGTAATAAGCTTATGAACTGGAATCAACTATCAGTGAACAAGATTGGGAAAGGGCCTGCACTAAAATCCACACAATGTCCATAGATAGCTGTACATTGGCAAATGCGCATATGTGTTATGCCTGTGCATTTAATAAATCTAACAGTGTAATTTTAGCAAATCAAAATGTGCTAAAATGATCTGAATCTGCAGCCAATCATCTGCGAAAAAAATGTATAGCTTTGGCTTGGAATTTATTTTTTTTCCTATGTTGGTTAATAACTTTTTATTTTCTTTTTAATTTCTCTGAAAAATTAAAATGGGAAAGAATAATTACTGTCATGCAATAACTACAAAGGAAACTTGTTCAGACTGATGCAAGATTGTATTTTCAAAGTGGAAAATACAATCATTTGGTTAAAAAAATATTTTGGTTACAAAAAAAACATACAAATTGTGCATGTGTATATTAAAAACAACAGTCTATAACAAGTACATGATAATGAACCACATCACCTGCCAAGATCTGTAAACTGACAGATCTTTTTCATCCAATCAGAATATTCCTTGTAACTATTGCATGCACCAAGCCGCAGACATTACTTAACAAAATGTTCAGACTAAGGAACATTTAGGCTGATTTAACTGAGGTGCAAAAAAATAATATTTACTTTAATTTTATTTTATTGAGTTTGCCTTTTTAAGACTCTATAGCTGGTTTTTAAGTATTGTCAATAACATTATTGTTATTACACATAATTGTCGAATCACATTATGAAACGTCCTTATATTTTTAACACAAGTATTCTGGGGGAAACTCCTCACTCAATTCTTCACTAAAGACTAATCATCTCATGAGGGTGTGGCCACATTTTTGGGGGAGCAGTTACCAACTGGTAAAACTACAAAGCTCTGAATTTTAAGCTTTAGATCTGGTAACCGTGCTTACACTTGAGTCACTTACAAATGTTTATCTACAAAGTAACATGATTCACCTACCTAGCAATCTCAGGTAGGGTTCTCTTGATGCATTTCAGTGTCTTTTTCATCAGAGAGGAGTTCTGCAGAAGGAAGAATGGCCGGACAAGCCGTCGTACTCTCAGTTTCTGAATAGTAAAGAAGGTGAAGAATGATATTTTCAAAATAAAATCAAAGAAATGTACATTTTATGCCAAGAAACCAGTAATCCAAACTGATAAGTATCCCATGTTATCTGAGGTGATGACACATAAACCACTGTGAATGTCTATTTTGTCTAATCTTCCAGTTTATACTTTTATGATTAGGTCTATGGAGTAACAACATCCATCCATCCATTCATTCATTTTCTGAACACCATTGTCCCTAGTGGGGTCGGGAGGGGTGCTGGTACCTATCTCCAGTGAATGTTTCGGGCAAGAGGCGGGATACACCCTGGACAGGTCACCAGTCTGTCGCATGGAGCAACAACAGTTATACTATTTTAGCTATATGACTTTAATTCCTTTTCTGTGACATCCAAAAAAATCCTTACCCTATTACAGGACAACCCGTTGGTGGAACACTAGTGGGTTGTTAGTGGTATGGTAAGAACCATACCACCCCCACTACATGACGCTTTCAAATCTAATACTGTACTAGCTATCAAGCTTGTTGATGGTAGCATCAAGTTGTTTGCTTGTTCAGTTGCTCTTTTTATTGGTGCTTTGAAAAAAGTGGATAGAATAGTGAAGAAGATTATTGAACTTCCCCTCAAATCCAAAGCTGCATGATTTAAACTTCAACTCAATTCCAAGAGAACAATGATTCCCAGCACATATAAAAACACTTTTGGGATGGATAAAACAATCTAACATTGGGCTTCTGAAAGGGCCTTGTTTTAAACCGTTTTGAAATAATTTTGATTGTGTGTAAAATGAGAATATGTAACATCTCGATTTAAAAAAAAAAACAGTCAGTGTTGTTGTTGGCTAAAACTGTGTCTGGTTTCTCTGAAACTTGCTGATGGACATCTAACCAAATAATTGTGGAGGTGAAAATCACTGAAGTTGTATGTTACATAATCATTGTAACAAACTGATAGTTTGAAACTGACAGTTCCATGTTGTACATCATAACAAACCCATTTTTCATTTAGACATGAATATATTACTGTTCAGAGTTCAGAGAGTAAAGTGTGAGTCTTACCTCGTCACACTCCATGCTGACAGAGAGCATCCAGTCAACGACAGAAATACAAATGACTACAGTGTAGCTGATCAGCCATTTGCTCTTTCTGAATTCCTCCCAGCCAATCAAGTAGCTCTGACAAAATGACAGGCAACATGAAACTTTGAACAAACAATTCAAAGAAAAGAATCAGGCAACAATGGCAAAGTGCATGTCAGAAACTTTGGGTTCTCAAAAAAATGTTTTGAGATCTTCTCTTTACTTTGACAGCAAGATCCAGGCAGAAGATGATGAGACAGAGCATCTCGACGCTCTCTGGGGCACCACATGGAGGTTCCCATCGGCTGGATTGGTGGCGGGGATCTGAAGAGATGGACACTGAGGAAGGACGTTCTACAAATGCCAGTAACAGCACAACTGCAATGATGGTGCCCAAGATCCTAGGAGAGGGATAAATGAGGAAATGTTGGTTGATGTAGCATTGGGCCATTGTTCCATTTATATTTCAGATATTAAATTGTTCATCCATTCATCCATCCATCCATCCATCCATNCCTGACTTCCTTTGTTCCAGGGTACTGTTGTTGCGGCATGGTACCCTGTTTTATGGTAAATTTTAAGAAAACATTCATCCTGTGACAAAGGCAATGTCTTCACCTCTAAGATGTAGTTGTCTCTCTCTTCAGTTGACTTTTCAGAGTTTAGAACCAGGATAGTCTGAAACACAAAATGTTGCATCACTGATTTACCTGCTGTGGTATTGTATGTGCTAATATGTGCAAAGAGTGCAGCACTTACACATATGCATAAGACATTGGCCAGTGCCACCAGGTTTCCTAGGACAGTGAGGTAGTAGTGACTGAAGACCACCTGAAGTTTTTGCAACGTTGCAGATGTATACTGCGGTAAAGGAGGATGCTGCAGCAAAAACGTGCAAAATCCAAACAATCATCTTAACAAATCGTTGTTGGACAACTGTTTAGAATGAGTCTGTAGTTCTAGATCTACCTCCTTGATACAATCTTTATCCAGTTCATCAAATATTTTCCTGAACTGCTGTCGATCCATGTAGCCCTGTTCTGCAAACTGCTGCGATGCCTGGCGTGTTGGATGTGCAGATGAGAACATTAAGAAATTCAACAGAAAAGACAGAGGACTTCATGAAGCAACATTCTCACCAACATTCTCTAGCATAATCAGGTCAACATGAGGTTTCTTATGAGATCAGAAACAAGGAAGAACATACTAGGCTTAAAGCTTTCCTTTTTGATAAAACTTATAGTTATACTGACATAGATTATCAGGAGCTATTTCTGTAGTTATGCTGCTGGAGGACAAACTGACCACTTTTTCTCACTTTCTTCTTCTTCAAATCCCCAATTAACATTATTTGTTATTTAAATTTTTTTTCCCTCAGTTATTTTTCTACACCTGGTCTGGTATTCCGCTTGGTTGTAAATTCTTCCTGGAGGAGGTCGTCGGCTGGCATAATGCTGCCATCAATGAATTGTTCTCCCTCTCTTATTATTTTAGATGTTTCATGAACATCTAAAATAATACATCAGTGCATCTGTTTCTTTGTTGTGTGTATGCTCTGTCTTCTCAAAACCTGAATTGGTCATGGCAGATGGCTGCTTGTACTGAACGAGGCTCTGTTGCTGGCAGTATGGGAGAGTTTTCAGTGCACGTGTGTGTGTATAAAGATGAACAGACATAAGTTGGCTCTGACCACTGTGATGGCTGATTTGTAGAAGCGCTTCATGTTGACTCTGGACATCACCTGAAGCACAGCATCGACTCTCACAAGTTCTCTGAGAGACAAAGAAACATGAAGGGATGTTGGTGAGCAAAATCTGCTGACCAAAGCCTTGGCCCCATGAGAAGAAGTCCCGTTTTTGAATTACTGGTTAGGTGTGACTTGAGTTTAGTAAGGGTTAGATCTTAGAAATCAATGAAAAATGAATGTAAGTCAATTCAAAGTCCTTGTAAAGATAGAAAGACATATTATGTGTGTGTCTTACTGTGCTTCTGTTTGTGAATTGTGACAGCTAAGGACATGGAACGCAGCTCGGATCCCCAGCCGTCTCCTAATGATGGATGTCTGGACTGACATCTGGACAAAAACATAAACAGTCAGCCGGCATGTTGAGTTTGCAGTGCTAATGATAAGTGGGTAGAGTAGCTCATCTCAGACCTGTTTATGCTAAACTAAACACTAGAACCCGTTCCCCCACTCATAGGTGGAAGGAGGCTACCCTCTCATTCACCAGGGTGAATTCCAACGTACAGGCACCAAGATGAGGGGCAACAAGTATGCCTACTCCTGTCCAGCACCTCTCACCAGGGGCAACTCCAGAGTGGAAGAGTGTCTCAAAGAGACTGGTTCTAGAACCAGAGCCTCGCGTTGAGGTGAGACCGACTATTTCTAGCCCGAACCTCTCTACCTCACACACTAGCACAGGCTCCTTCCCAAACAGTGAGGTGACATTCCATGTCAGCTTCTGTAGCCGAAAATCAGATCGCCAAGATCCCCACCCTCAGCTGCCACCCATCCCACACTGCACCTCACCCCTTTGGCCCTCCCACAGGTGGTGAGCTCATGGGAAAGGGGATCCACGTCTCCTCCTTGGGCTGTGCTCGACTGGACTCCATGAGTTAAAGCCCACCCACCAGGCGCTATCCAGTATGGCCCACCTCCAGGCCTGGCTCCAAAGCTTTTATGTTTTCTTCATCTATACTGAACGAAGTAACATCCATTATAACATTATGTTTACGTGGAAGTTTTTCTATCATTTCTCTCATCTCTTGTTCCTTTCCAATAGATGACAGGACTGACTGACCAGACAGTTTATCATGATGTCCAGTTGGTTTATTGTGGTATTTTTAATAACAGGTTGTGTATTTTCTACTATTTCATGATCCAACCTATTCTGTGCTGTTTTCCACTGTCAGACATATTTCACTTTGTTTGGGAGGTGGATTTTAATTCTTTTAGAATGTGTGACACAGCCTTCAATCAAACATGATGTAGAGTAACTCCTTAATACTTACAACACTTAGTTTTCCTGTTGCAACACATCATACATGCACTGACATACCTTCAGTCCCCTATGGGAACAGTACCACTATTTATGTAGTAAAAAGCTCATCTAAGAGCCAAAGGTAGGACAGGCGGAGCAAACCCATTTAAGAGGGAAGTCTCTGTGGTTGTGATTTTCTAAAGCCATGTGACCCACCCATCCTGGTGTTCTTCATTCATGGGCATCAACACGTCTCAGCATAGAAATCAATGGCGTGATGCTAGGTGTAAACATTCCAGTATGACGTCTGCTGGCTCTGAAAGCACAACTACTGATTCACAGATACACCAAGGCAGTCTCACCAGTAAATATCCCCTGAACTGGTTATAGATGATGGCAGTCAGCAAGTTCATCAGACAGTATGTTCCTGTAGGAAGCAAAACGGATTCCTTCTGAAACTCAGCACTACGGGACAGTCATAATGTTCAGAAATCACTATTACTTGTAGCTGGTTGGTTGTTCATAGTGCTTACCAATGATACTGAAGATGATAAAGAAAATGGCGTAGCATCTGTTGAGGGAATAGGCAGGGATCATGACTGTAACAGAGAACATGATTGGTCCGTGTGAAAGCAGTTAGAGCTACAAGACGTGATTGGATGTGATTTCACTATACCATCAGGATTGTTAGCTGTGGTGAGCAGCACCAGCAGAGAGGTCAGGGAGGTGGTCAGGTTCTTGAAATGTAACTCCCACTCACCATTCTTCTTTTGATCCTGGAGCACAGTAACACAGATAGAATAGCTGCACTGTTTCATCCACTGGTTGTTATGATTAAGATAAAACAGTTGAGCTTTTTGAGAAGCTTTTAAACCAAGTAAGGTTCAACTGAACTGAAGAAAACTTTTATTTCTCAACTACCTAAAGTATAATTGACATTCAGTGTTTTGTCCATACAAGGTTGATCACTATTAGACCATTCTGATTATGTCTTAATACTTCAGGTTAAAGTACAAAGCAATTTTGATGAGTGTGGGCTGTATTTTCACTCTGTGACATGTCCAATCAGAGTACTCCTGGCAACTACTACAGTCACTTAGATAAATAACAACCAATTACAACCAGCAAATCAAAATACTGCACCAAGCTGCAGACATCATTAAACAAAATGTTCGGATTTAGGAAAATTTAGGCTGAATATTTATTACGACTTAACAGAAATGCAAAATAATTATGTTACTTATTTTAATTTTATTTTATTGTGTTTACCTTTTTAAGACTATAGCTGGTGTTTAAGTATTGTCAGTAATGTCATAACACATAATTACACACAAACAGGTGTGACCACAAAGACATGAACTTACTGCATTTTTAGCAAACAGCAGCATGCCAACCATAGTGAAGAGGCAGAGATGCAGAGCAAGCAGCAGGATCACACTGCAAAACAGCAACAGTTCCAGGTTTAACAGAAGGGTTGCAGGATTCAGTGCTAATCCTCTGACTTTTCACCAACAGAAACAATGCAACAACATGGCTCCAACAACACTGCATGAGACAAGACTACTGAGACCAGACTCCATTTGAACTTGACCTGTAACTCCTGCTAGATGCTGTACATACATCCAGTAATCCTGAGTGTGTGCTTGTACATACTGAGAACTGAAAAATGTTTTTAGCCAACAATTTGGATAATGAGGACATTTTCCTGATCCTTACTGTTTTCAACTGTACTAAGCTCAACTAGTTAGGCTTAGAAGTATGGTTTGAATTAATGTTTTAGTTAAGGTTAGGGTTAGTAAAATACTGGTAATATTTAGGAATAGGGTAAGTGATAGGGTTATTAAAATGAAACTCAATATAAAGTCAGATCAGTAGACCATTGAAAAAACAGCTGTCTGCTGTCTTTTTCAAACATCGATCATTGAACGTGAAGTAAAATCTGGCAGCCGACCAGACTTTACTTTTACACCAGTAATACACCAGTAATAGTGACAGCAAAATCTAGTTAAGGTAGGAATATAGTTGACACACTGAACTTTGTCCCCACCCCAGCTCATTAATCTTTAGTGCTGACGAGGCGTCACTTCTCACTCAAAATGTATTTTTGGAAGGTGTTCTTGCAGAGCAGGTTCATCTGTATTGGTATTTATATGATCCTTTCATGAGGGCTGTCTTTTTGGAGAATACTAAACCAACGTACACGTCAAGTATAAAAGCCTTACTGTTGCTTAACTCATTCAAAACGGACCTCTAAAAGCATGATAGGTGCATGCCTCCTCTACACATTGTTCAATTGATCAACTATAAACCTAGATTTAAGTCCAAGTTAGTTGCGTTTATAGAGGTTTACGTTGATCGCAGAGAGACTAATCTGAGCACAAAGAATGATGTGTAGTGTGTGCATTTATCTCTCAAATGTTCACTCAATCCATGTTCTGGCTTTGTTTCTGCACTTCCTTTGTTGTCTCACAGTGTGGAAATTCCATTGTAACAGGCAATCAAAACATGTGGAGTCACACAGATTAATATATGTGTAAAAACAGAATTAAAAATAACATAGTGTAGGGCAGATGGAACTTTCGAGCTATTGCTAGGCTTAAAATGTATTGGTGACCTTTACTCATTCAATTCTGTTATATTTTTGTGATTGTTAAATTACAGACCAAGTTCAAGCTCGATAAAAAGCATTATTTTAAATTTCTTCAACTAAGAAACTTTGTTAAAGCAAATTGCAGTAATCTTAACAAGCCTCCCATTACATTGCTTGAAAAATTAATGATTAGGAATAAGTCAAGAAAAGGCATTATTTCAGACTTTTGTAATGTACTCTAATACAAGAGAAAATTCAAGTAATAAGCTTATGAACTGGAATCAACTATCAGTGAACAAGATTGGGAAAGGGCCTGCACTAAAATCCACACAATGTCCATAGATAGCTGTACATTGGCAAATGCGCATATGTGTTATGCCTGTGCATTTAATAAATCTAACAGTGTAATTTTAGCAAATCAAAATGTGCTAAAATGATCTGAATCTGCAGCCAATCATCTGCGAAAAAAATGTATAGCTTTGGCTTGGAATTTATTTTTTTTCCTATGTTGGTTAATAACTTTTTATTTTCTTTTTAATTTCTCTGAAAAATTAAAATGGGAAAGAATAATTACTGTCATGCAATAACTACAAAGGAAACTTGTTCAGACTGATGCAAGATTGTATTTTCAAAGTGGAAAATACAATCATTTGGTTAAAAAAATATTTTGGTTACAAAAAAAACATACAAATTGTGCATGTGTATATTAAAAACAACAGTCTATAACAAGTACATGATAATGAACCACATCACCTGCCAAGATCTGTAAACTGACAGATCTTTTTCATCCAATCAGAATATTCCTTGTAACTATTGCATGCACCAAGCCGCAGACATTACTTAACAAAATGTTCAGACTAAGGAACATTTAGGCTGATTTAACTGAGGTGCAAAAAAATAATATTTACTTTAATTTTATTTTATTGAGTTTGCCTTTTTAAGACTCTATAGCTGGTTTTTAAGTATTGTCAATAACATTATTGTTATTACACATAATTGTCGAATCACATTATGAAACGTCCTTATATTTTTAACACAAGTATTCTGGGGGAAACTCCTCACTCAATTCTTCACTAAAGACTAATCATCTCATGAGGGTGTGGCCACATTTTTGGGGGAGCAGTTACCAACTGGTAAAACTACAAAGCTCTGAATTTTAAGCTTTAGATCTGGTAACCGTGCTTACACTTGAGTCACTTACAAATGTTTATCTACAAAGTAACATGATTCACCTACCTAGCAATCTCAGGTAGGGTTCTCTTGATGCATTTCAGTGTCTTTTTCATCAGAGAGGAGTTCTGCAGAAGGAAGAATGGCCGGACAAGCCGTCGTACTCTCAGTTTCTGAATAGTAAAGAAGGTGAAGAATGATATTTTCAAAATAAAATCAAAGAAATGTACATTTTATGCCAAGAAACCAGTAATCCAAACTGATAAGTATCCCATGTTATCTGAGGTGATGACACATAAACCACTGTGAATGTCTATTTTGTCTAATCTTCCAGTTTATACTTTTATGATTAGGTCTATGGAGTAACAACATCCATCCATCCATTCATTCATTTTCTGAACACCATTGTCCCTAGTGGGGTCGGGAGGGGTGCTGGTACCTATCTCCAGTGAATGTTTCGGGCAAGAGGCGGGATACACCCTGGACAGGTCACCAGTCTGTCGCATGGAGCAACAACAGTTATACTATTTTAGCTATATGACTTTAATTCCTTTTCTGTGACATCCAAAAAAATCCTTACCCTATTACAGGACAACCCGTTGGTGGAACACTAGTGGGTTGTTAGTGGTATGGTAAGAACCATACCACCCCCACTACATGACGCTTTCAAATCTAATACTGTACTAGCTATCAAGCTTGTTGATGGTAGCATCAAGTTGTTTGCTTGTTCAGTTGCTCTTTTTATTGGTGCTTTGAAAAAAGTGGATAGAATAGTGAAGAAGATTATTGAACTTCCCCTCAAATCCAAAGCTGCATGATTTAAACTTCAACTCAATTCCAAGAGAACAATGATTCCCAGCACATATAAAAACACTTTTGGGATGGATAAAACAATCTAACATTGGGCTTCTGAAAGGGCCTTGTTTTAAACCGTTTTGAAATAATTTTGATTGTGTGTAAAATGAGAATATGTAACATCTCGATTTAAAAAAAAAAACAGTCAGTGTTGTTGTTGGCTAAAACTGTGTCTGGTTTCTCTGAAACTTGCTGATGGACATCTAACCAAATAATTGTGGAGGTGAAAATCACTGAAGTTGTATGTTACATAATCATTGTAACAAACTGATAGTTTGAAACTGACAGTTCCATGTTGTACATCATAACAAACCCATTTTTCATTTAGACATGAATATATTACTGTTCAGAGTTCAGAGAGTAAAGTGTGAGTCTTACCTCGTCACACTCCATGCTGACAGAGAGCATCCAGTCAACGACAGAAATACAAATGACTACAGTGTAGCTGATCAGCCATTTGCTCTTTCTGAATTCCTCCCAGCCAATCAAGTAGCTCTGACAAAATGACAGGCAACATGAAACTTTGAACAAACAATTCAAAGAAAAGAATCAGGCAACAATGGCAAAGTGCATGTCAGAAACTTTGGGTTCTCAAAAAAATGTTTTGAGATCTTCTCTTTACTTTGACAGCAAGATCCAGGCAGAAGATGATGAGACAGAGCATCTCGACGCTCTCTGGGGCACCACATGGAGGTTCCCATCGGCTGGATTGGTGGCGGGGATCTGAAGAGATGGACACTGAGGAAGGACGTTCTACAAATGCCAGTAACAGCACAACTGCAATGATGGTGCCCAAGATCCTAGGAGAGGGATAAATGAGGAAATGTTGGTTGATGTAGCATTGGGCCATTGTTCCATTTATATTTCAGATATTAAATTGTTCATCCATTCATCCATCCATCCATCCATCCAT